TGACTGCGGCTGGGTCTGACCACGAGTCTGGCGGGGTCGCCCGACCTGACATGACCTGACCTGACCTGACCTGACCTGAGCTCTCCATCGGCAGTGGCCAACGGCATCTACCAGAACTCCGGTAGTACGGGTTGGCGGCGCGCCTTCCGTTCCGCTACACCTGGAGCCGTGGTGCTCGGGTCGGTACGTACCCCGCCCTCCTCCTCGGTCACCAGCTCATGCTCCCTCCCCTTCTGCCTGTGCCAGTCCGGTCGTTTGTGTGGTATTAGGTGCCGGTTAGTCTTGATGTGTGTTTGCCCGCCTGCGTTTCGGAGAGAGCGCGAGGGCAGATACGCCAGAGAGCAGAGGCGGGCGCGCAGGGACGGAGCAGGGGTGCTTAGCCTGGAAACCGTAATTCCAGTCTCCCCGCCCGATATTGTCTGAAGTGGCCCATCTCTTCCCACCACAGCGTGACGGACGGGTTTTATCGGCATGACTTTGGCCACGTATACTGCCAAGCGGCCCCCTCTGAGGGCGTCAGGTCCGCTCGGCGCCCGCCCCCTCCCCCCCCCCGCCCCTTGCTGTACCGCTCGCCGCCGTCGCTGAACCCCCGCCGTGTCGGACAGAACGTGAGCGGCACGTTCACGGCGCTGATCAACATCCTCTCGATCGCGATGGCGCCCAACCCGCGCACGGCCGCCATCTACTACTTCATCACGGCCCTCTTCGTGCTCCTGGCCTGCTTCGACACCTACTTCGCGCTGCCGCTGAGCGTGAGTCGCCGTCGGCGGCGGCCGGATGTGATGTGTTCGAATCGGAGGCTGTTGTACGGCCGTGCGGTGCTCGGTATTAGGACCTGCACTGACGTCAGGCTGTGGGTTTGGGTCCATCGACAGTGGCCGGATCGGCAGCGTCATCAGCGGGAAGCGGGGGACGCGAACGCGTTTGGGACCGCGGTTTGAGGCTGGGATTGAGTCTGAGCTGGTGGCATGGTGCCTCCGGGGCTATTAGAGCCTGGTCTCTTGTTGCAGTTAAACCGCTCAACGCGCAGTAAATATCGGGTGGGTTGTATCGTACCATCAGGTTTTGTATGTACGATTAATATCCGCGGCGAACGCTCAAATGCAAATTTTGCTCGTCGTAGAATGTTGTTTTCATTTCGTGCCGGATTTGCGGCGATAGAACAGCCTGACATGTGTTTTGTTAACAGCCGTGTGATCGACAGATTTGTTATTATCGCGTGCCGCACACATACATCAGGTTCTGGTGGCAGGGTATGACTTCACGTGTGATGTTGTCGATGTGGCCGGTTCTGACTGCAGCCGGACAGCGGTAGGCCGGTCGGTGCCGGCCGTCATCGGCTGACCGAGGGGCCGTTTTCAGCGGTTCTACCGGTACCACAAGCTGAAGTCGATCCGTTCGGGCACAGACGCGCGCGGCCCCACCACGGCTGTGCCCTACTGGCACGTCTTCAAGAAGGCCTTTCCCCAGCTGCTCAACGTGTTCCTGACCTTCTTCGTCACGCTGTCGGTGTTTCCGACGGTGCTGGCAGGTGCGCTGGTCCCGCCCAGTGGGACCCACCGGGCGGGTCCCACCGGACCCGGGATCACTCCCCCGCCGCCGCTCCCGGGCGGGTCCCTCTGGTCCCGGGAGCACTCCCCCGCCGCCGCTTCCGGGCGGGCCCCACTGGTCCGGCTTGAGCGCCGGCACGTGCGCCGGCCCGCCGCGATGGACGCTGTCCCGATGGCCAGGTCACGTGTGACAGGCGAGCTATTAACGATGTAATCCCAGAGCTGTTCATTGCCCTGGATTTGCCATTTGCCCATCACCGTTGATGAGGCGGCCAAAAGACCTGCGACGTGTTTTAAAAAACGGGCAACGCCGAGAAGTGCATTTGACGAGCTTTCTGAACGCTGCGAGAATTTTAACCATCGTACCATTCCAGTGATCCCGTTGGTAATCATTGTCGCGTATCCATACTCGATATGGTATTTGATTAGAGGTGAAGTACGCTGCTAGTTCCTTTCCAGTCAGATTTGGTGGATAGCCGCGTCTCAGCGTACCTTACTCGTGGGCAAGGCCAGTGGATTGTATTCCGTGCTAACTGGAATAGGTACGCCACGGGCAAGATGTGCCATAACTTGGCTTGTTTTCTAACTCTCTTCGCTTTCTCTGTTATTAGCCGTGGTCTTTCCGGTGACTTCGTTTTCAATCACGCTTCTCCGTGCGAGCATTAGCGATGGACACAGACGTGTGTGTTTGCCTGCTAGTCGGCCCCGTCGAGCGCCGTTCGCGCCGAGCTGACGCGCGTTTGGACGCCGGCAGACATCAAGCCCGTCGACGAGCAGTTCATCGTGTCGCCCAAGTACTTCGCGGCCGTCCTCTGCTTCCTCACCTTCAACGCCACGGCCATGATCGGCAACCTGCTGCCGATGTTCTTCGTGCTGGTGCGTCGACGCGCGCCCCGCACCACGTTCTGTCGCACGTGCGGCGCGGCGTCGATGGCCTCCTGTTCTGCGGTTCTAACGCCTTGCTCCTGAGATGCTGAAGTTTGAAAAGTTGAGATGCTGAAGTTTGCAGCCCCCCCCCCCCCCTCCCCCTCCGTCGAGGCTGTCGGTGGTATAGTCTCGGTGGAGCGCTTCGCCACGTGACTCAGAACGTCGCGTCACGCGCGGTGCGGAACCAGACGCAGGCCGTCATCAGCGTGTTCGTAATTGGAAGTGGTCTGACATGCTGTCCCGTCCCGCCGCGCGGCTTGTGGCGACGTGTTCGAGCTCTGCCGTTGTATGAAAGCCTGGTCCTCGCCCGGCGTGACTGCCGTCATCGCGCGGTGTTCCCTGCGGGCGAGTGATGACGCCGCGGACGGCGCGCGCCCACAGCCGACGCCGCGCTGGCTCTGGCTGCCTGTGGTGCTGCGGTTCGCCTTCATCCCCTACTTCGTGCTCTGCAACTACCTGCCCGTGCACGTGGAGCGGCTGACGCCCGTCTACATCAACAACGACTGGGCCTACTGGGGCATGGTGGTGCTGCTTGGCCTCAGCTCAGGCTACTTCTCGTCGCTCGGCATGATGTACTGCCCCAGGTCAGTGGCTGGTGCTGCTCTAGGTCAGTGAGTGGTGCTGCCCCAAGTCAGTGGCTGGTGCTGCCCCGGGCCAGTGGCTGGGGGTGCCCCAGGTCAGTGGCTGGTGCTGCCCCAGGTCAGTGGCTGGTGCTGCCCAGGTCAGTGGCTGGTGCTGCCCAGGTCAGTGGCTGGCGCTGCCCCAGGTCAGTGGCTGGTGCTGCCCAGGTCAGTGGCTGGTGCTGCCCCAGGTCAGTGGCTGGTGCTGCCCAGGTCAGTGGCTGGTGCTGCCCAGGTCAGTGGCTGGCGCTGCCCAGGTCAGTGGCTGGTGCTGCTCCAGGTCGGTGGCTGGTGCTGCCCCGGGTCAGTGGCTAGTGCCGATCCAGGTCATTGGTAGAAGGACGGATCTGAGGCGTTGCTAGGCGGTCGATCGAGGGGTCTGAAGTGGGCCTGCTCTGTGATGCTGGATGGTGAGTCAGGGACACACTCCGAGGGACAGTCTTGGACGGCATGTTCTTAGTTTGGTACGCCGCCTGAACAGTGTGATGGGCCCTCTAAAGACCAGTAGTGGGGTCACTGGGTTTTCAACAGGTTTCTCGGAAGTCAAACAGAAATATGTCGGAACGCGTTGCCCCGCCCCCTCTCCCTTCGACGAAAACTTATCGATGCCATACGTCTTCGTTGGTTCACTGCGGCCCGCCACTGCGCCAGGTACCGCCCGCTTGCGGAGCAGCTCGGCGTTCTCGTCCATCCCCGCGCGTGCTCGCCGGGCCCGGCCGTCTCCTACGTGAGCCTGGTGATCGTGTACCCCCTGTGCTGCGTGACTGGTGATCGCTTACCCCATGCGCCGATCACACGCGAGTCGAGCTGGCCCGCCGCGGTCCTCGGCGCGGCGGACCTCCCCGCCGCTCGGCCCCCGCCGCCGCTCGGCCCTGACCTCGCCCCTGTGTGCGTCGGCAGGACGGTGGAGCCCCAGTTCGCCTCGACGGCCGGCATGTTCGGCGCCGCCGCGCTCGTCACCGGCGTCTGCGCTGGCGTCCAGTTCTCGCTCGTGCTCTCCTGGTTCGTGCGCAACGTGCGGTTCGCGTAGTGGCCGCCGGCGCGGAGGACGCCGCGCCGTTCTCGGCGTCGCGCTCCGCCGGGCGTCGGCGCGCGCGACGAGCGAGGACCGAGGCGGCGCGCCGGGGCCCCGCCGCCGGCCGACGGGGCGCTGCGACGACGGACCCGTGGCTCGGCGCCGCGCGTGGAGCTCCCGTCCGCAATCTCACGAAGCGGCGGCTCTCGTGGCGGGCGGCCAGCCGCGGCCCGCCACCGCAGTGCAGTGCGCGTGACGCGGCGTCGGCGCAGCGTCACCTGTCGGGTCAGGGGACGCCGGGGCGGGCGGCTGGACCCGGTCCGGACGCTCGCCCGACCCTGCAGCGGCCGGCCGCGCCAGCATGGCTGGGTCCCGTGTCATCGCCGGCAGCCTGCTGATCTCACGAACTCCCGGGCACCGCCGCCGCCGCCGCTGTCGCCACCGTCGCTGTCGCTGTCGCTGTCGTCGTCCGCGTCCGCGCGCAGGAGCCAGGCCTGGTGCGCGGCTCACCTGATGAAGTTGTTTGCGTTAGCTTGTTAGCAGCTCAGTCAAGACCGCGGCGGGCGCCACCGCCGGCCGCGCCGTTCTGTTTGGATCTGTGGTATTTTGTGGTGCTCCGCCAGGTTTGTCGCGCACGTTATTTTTTCGTTACTTGAGTGGCTTGTTCTGCTTGTTGTTTTAGCGCACGTGCCTTTTCGTTTCGCTGCCGCCCGGCCGGCGGTGTTCGGTCTCGTTCTCGGCCCGCGTGGGCCGTCGGTGGCCTTGGGGGCCCGGGTGGTCCGCCTTCTTGTCAGCCGCCGCCCCACAGGTCCGGGCATGGGGCGGCGGCCGCGCCTCCTCAGGCGACGCCGCCTTTCTTATGGATGTTTGCGTAAGGAATACGAGGCGTTTATACAAATACAGTGTATTGAGCGCGCTGGAAGCGAACAGCATGGGCGTTGCGCGCGCGGAGGCCGACAGTACGCTGTCATTATGAAGAAACTTGCCGTGCTCTGCTTCTCTCTGTTGGAGTTACGCAGCACTTCTCTCGGGTGTGTGATGCACAGACCCCCGACGAGAAGCAGGCCTAGAGAGGGCGTCACATGATGTTGGCCGTGCTGTTGGACAAGTTGGCCATCAGCAGCTCCATCTTGTTTAGGAAGTTGCGTCCCTCCATCTTCTCCCACTTCACCTGCGGAACAAGGTTATCTTGACATCCGTAACAAATGCAAACGTATCACGTCCGGAAACTAGCCAAAGCGAAGCTCAACCACCTCAAATTGAAAATCACGGAACCCGAGGGGGTGCGCAAGCGATGTAGCAACGTCTAAAGAGACATGCATGCCCACAGTATTCCTGATTACGTGGCCGGTGTGGCCAACGTGGCCAACGCCGTCGCTCGGCGCCCCCCGTCCCACGTCGGCCCGGCGCGACAATGTGCGGGCGCGGCGCCCTCCGTCCGAGGTCGGCCGGACCGACAATGTGCGCCCTCGCCGCGGCTGACCTGTCTGAAGGCGCCGCCCAGCTGCTCCCACTTGTGCTCGGTCACCAGCGCCGTGGGGAAGAAGTCGGGCCGCGGCGACTGAGCCACGGCCACCTGGATGGGCTCGCCGTGCGGCTGACACCGCACCGCCACGTAGCACTGGCCCGAGGGCGCGGCCAGCACGCAGCCGCCGCCCTGCCAGCCGCCGCTGCTGCGCACCGTCCAGCCCAGGATCCGGCCCAACGACTGCGCCGCCAGCATGTTGTGCTGAGACACCTGGCGGCCGGTGTGCGAGGTTCAGCTAACAGGGCGGATGTTAGAGGGCGGGAGCGTGGTGATGGCCTGACCAGATACGCGGCTGACGTCCATCACACTGCGCTCGCACCTACTCCAAACAGCACAGTCGGCAGTCAGTGACTATACATTTCCCTCCTCAGTGCGTCGAACGTGTGACTCCTTTGCTGACGGGTCCGAAGTTCTGAACTCACGAAGCACGTGGTACCTACATCTTACCACACACGTTAAGCACCACGCATACACTAGTGCCACAGCACAACGCTGAAAACCTCCGGCTGGCCTCGAGGCTCAGCAGACCACCTACACGCCCCGCGCTGGCAGAAGATGGCTCCTCCCGCCCCGGCCGGCGCACCTGGCAGAAGATGATGTACTGCAGCTCGGACGAGTCGTAGCTGAGCGTGAGCACGCGGCCGTCGCGGCACACACAGCGCAGCGAGTCCTCCAGCACGTTGATGAGGAAGGTGGTGCGGTGCACCGAGTCGTAGCCGTGTGTGACGATGTTGACCTGCGGGGTGCGGGGGACGGGTCAGGCCGGCTCCGCCTGCCGGAGCGGCCAGGCCGGCGGACGGCTTAGGGCGGGGGGGGGGAGGGGGAGGGGGATGCGCTCCAGCCGGCCGCGTTCGGGGAGTCCCGTCAGATACCAGGCGACGCAGTCAGTACGGTCAAGGCTTCACGGCGATAGCACGGCGATGGAACCAGAAGCCTCTCGGAAGGCTTAAGCGGCGACTGGCGAATGGTAGCCGCAGCGGTCAGAACTGACGTCGTATCTGCATGACTCGAGTATATTCTGGTGCTGGCGCCACTGTCAGCAGCAGCACTGCATACCTTGCAGCAGCACTGCGTGGGCGAGTTGACCGAGTTCCAATGGGTGACGATCAGCGGGTCTTTGATGTCGCGCGCGCAGCTGTCGATCACGAACGCTGTGCGCATGCGCAACACGACGTGCCGGGCCTGGCGGATGATCCTCTCCAGCAGGGTCTCACTGAAGACAGGGGGACGCATGAGATGCAGCACCAGCACATCTTTTCAGCTGTAACATTTCGAAGACAAGGTACACGCTTAAGGTCTGCCACTGATCCAACAAGGGCGCTTTCCCACCAACACCACCCAGAGCCGCGTACACGAAAGCCCACCGGATCAGCCGCTCCCCAGCCGCCTCCCACCCTCCGTCCCCGGTAAGCAGCTCGCGCAGCGGCCCACCTTTCGACCATCTTGACGAGCTGGGCGCGGGAGGCGGCGCCGGGGCCGGCCTGGCGGCGCCGCTTGCTCATGCCCATGGACGCCGAGGCCGGGTGCGGCATGGCGTGGTGCATGTTGCGGTGGTGCACGTGCCGCAGCAGCTGGTGCAGCGAGTGCTCCAGCACGTAGTTGTTGTCGCTGAGCGGGCCGGCCGGCGGCGGCGGCGGCAGCTCGGCGGCGCGCCGCTCTGACCGCGCGCTGTGCGCCAGCCCGATCACCAGGTGCATGCCCGGGAAGATGGTGGACGTGATCTCGTTGCCGATCACCATGTGCGGCAGCTTGGCCTGCAGCTGGACGGCCTCGCGCGCCAGCTGCGCGATCAGCTCCTTGCAGAAGAGCACGTTCTGGGCGGCCTCCAGCCGGTCGTTCCAGTGCTGGGAGTTGGCGGCGGCGGCGGCGGCCGGCGCGCCGCCCGGCTGCGTCAGCCGCGCCGAGCACAGCGTCTCCTGGTCTGCCGTGGGGGGGGGGGGGGGGGGGCGGTCACGAGCTGGCCGCACCGGTCGCCGCGGCAGGACAGGCGGACGCGGGGTCATCCGACGACTCACAGGCCACGGAGGGCCGGGCCAACAGCTCTCCCAACGCCAGAAAACAACCGGGTTGCGAAGATCCCGTGGGTCCACCGTGCCTCTCTCATGCAATAAAGTCACGACAAAGGCACACGGCCGCCCAAACAACCTCTTGCGGTAACTCCTACCGGTGGCTGGGCTGCATTACACCACGACCCCGCAGCATGAAGTCCACACCAGCGACCACTATCACAGCCAGCGCCACCCAGCAGCCGGTCGGCAGCGGTCGCCGACCGCAGCCGGCGGCGGCCACCGCACCTTTCCTGATGGTGACGTAGATGTACGCGACGCCCTGGAGTTCGCTGGGCACGGTGACGACGATGGGCGGCGGCGGCGGGCCGACGGCCGGCGCCGGCGTCTCCTCCGCCTTCTTCACCTCGAACGTGCCCGACAGCCAGAAGCGCGAGCCCACTGGACGCGGACGACGACGGGAGAGGTCAGCTGGCTCGTGAGCGCGCACCGGCCAGAGTTACGAGCCCGCTGATTGGGCGTGGAGAGCGGAGCGTGCGTCTCACACGCACACGCAGGGCGACTCACAACCCGGGATCTCAGACGAGGGTCCGTGCTAAACTGTGGGACAGTTCGCAGACCACGCCTTCCTCAATGTTCGGGCCAAAAAACAGCGACTAAGGATCCCTCTGATGAAAACAAACGCCAACGAAAGTGCACCAAAACATGCATCACTGAGAGAATCCAGCAGCAGAGCCCTAGCCAACAAAGGTGTCTCGAAACAGTACCAACATACACAAGCTCATCGGAATGGACGGATGGGCTCGTGATACATCCAATCAACAGACGCAACACGTGACCGATGAGCGGAGGCAGATACCTTGTTTGTAGCTGAGATCACCGATGATATTGTTGCCGACCTTTCTAAGCCGCCACCTCTGGCGCAGGCGCAACAGCTCAGTGTAGAAGTCGTTGTTGTTGCGGTTGCGCCGCTGTTCGGCCACGTTCTCGCGCATACGGTCAGCACCGTCGTTCAGGATCTGCGCCGCCGCCCCAAGACCCTGCCGGGGTCAGGTCAGGTGCTGAGGAGCGACCCGAGGTCAGGGGTGGGAGCTGTGGCCAGCCCCTGCCCAGGTCAGGTCAGGCCGGGGTGACAGGCAATGTGTGACGTGGCTAGTCGGATCAACAGCACAAGGAAAAACGAGCACATGCCCACGTCCGTCCCGACAGCCTGCTTGGTTACAGCACAAGCCTCTCGATTCACGCACCCGTGTCGGGGTGGGTTCGAGACCCTTTAAGCGATCGCTCTCGTTCCCGACTAGGACGGCCTGCGTCCGGCGACAGCGGCCGCAAGGGCCAGGTGACGTCAGAGGGCAGGACGAACCGGGTCGAGCATTGTGGCACGGCGAGCCCTCGCCACAAAAGGTTCTGCCGCTGACCCGATGCATCCGATCCAGAATTATACGGACGGATGGTGGGGTCAGGACTCACGCAACAGCTCCTGATTAGCGCGCGCGCGCGCTGGTACCGGAAATCCATCCCATAAAAAGTTGACGTTAAGTCCAAGAAAAACAAGTTGCGTGCGCGAGGTACCTTCTTCTTGCTGATGACTTGGACGAGCTGGCGCGACTCCGGCGCGTCTTGCGTCACGCCGTCCAGCACCATGTAGCGCTTGTGGCGCGCGATGCTGAGGACGTCCGAGAGCACGCACACCTCCGTGTAGGCGTCCCTGCCAGCCGCACGGCAGCGCCGTTAGTTCCCGCACGGTACGGCCCCTGGCACGGGGGGAATGGCTAGATCTGACAGCTAGAGCTTACAGGCCGACACCAGGTTGAGCGTACAGGAGTTGTGTGTATATTCCGTGTGAAAACATAGTGGATGCTGTTCACCTTTCGAAAGCAGTAAGAAGAAGTATGCACGCAATCAGAAGCAAACAAGTATACAACAACTCAGAAGTAGTATACGCTCAATTGAGTTTATTAGCTGGCAGGTTGATGTTATAATCCAACCATATAGTTCGGTAATTAAAGAACATTTTTCAGATCCCCGATTAACCCCCGGCCTGCACGCCAACGTGACGGAGCCGCCGCAGCGCGCGAGGAAAGCGCAGCCTCGGTCCGACGGTTCCCGAGTGCCGGGCTCCGACCGAGCCGAGCCGCAGCGCGCCCGCCCCGCCCACGCACCTGATCTTGTTGCGCACGCTCTCCCAGGGCCAGGCGGGCTGCTGGAAGGAGGTGACCTGCTGCTCGCCGTCGGCGTCGGGCTCGGCGGCCGGCTCGGCCGGCTCGTCCGCGCCGTCCGAGCCGTCGGCGCGGCTCCAGTCGATCTTGGCCGCCAGGCGCGCCAGGTTCTCCGACATGGAGAGTGGCCTGAGGGGCGTCGCCGCGCCAGCGTGGTCAGTCAAGACATGTGTGAGGTTGCACACAGCTTAGCTGATACTGGGTGGGCAAAGCAGCTGTGGAGCACCTGAGCATGCACTTAGCAGGGCAAATGGCCATGAATGTGCAATAATGAACAATAAAATGGTAAACACACATGACATCCTGACATAATGTGCAAACATAAACAGATGACTTTATATTTATATTGCTCATCCAGATGTTTTTATATAACAGCATGAATTACAGTTTGACCAACATTTCTGGGCACAAGTTTATCTTTATTTTAATCAAGGTGACTAAATTTTGGTTAATGATTGCTGATGGCCCCATCATGAAAATCATTGACTTGAGCTCAATTTCTATGCTTGAACACATACCAAAGCACGATGCGCTACTTACGGCTGAAGAATCTCCCTTCCATCATAGGTTATCTCATACACCTGGTTTTCAAGAGGTGTTTCTATGCTTATCTTTGGTCCAGACATCTTGGTGTTCTGCAAAAAGAGACAAGCTTGTCATTAATACACTTCAACTGGAAATTTATTCCATTTCCCATCTTCATCCACATCAAAACTGCGCCTGACCATGTACTGGGCAATATACAACCCATAAACATGCTGCTTAGCCTCATCACACACTAGGATCTAAAAATTTCCAAAATGAGCAAATTCAATTGACAGCAAATTAGCAGAAGCCTCACACCAACTTCCAACATATCTAATATATATATATATATATATATATATATATATATATATATATATATATATATATATATATATGTACTGCAAGCTAGAAGCAGCAGTCCAAAAACTGTTTGCTGCTTGAAACATTACACATGAAAACAGCATCAGTACAGTATGAGTGCAGCAATACATATGGCATAATAAGTATAGTGCATCAGGCTTCAGTGGAACCAGATGCAGAGTTTAACTCCATGCTGTGCTCACCCTTTCTGCAGAGTGAGAGACAGGCTAGTCTGCAAACTATGGCAAACATGCCAATGAGATGTTTGGCACAGACAGGATGCTGCCTTAACAGTGGTAGCAAGCTGCCACATTGGGGCACATTCTAGTTGCATCACTTACCCCAAAAACATTATTTATCATGACAGTTGTCAATTTGACTAATACTGTTTTATAAGCTAGAAAAACATACTCTGATAGGCTACATAGTCTAAGAAATAATTTCTGCCACAAAATTTTGGTGAGCTGTCAAAAACTGGAAGTTGTGCCCGGCCTCTGCCCCAAAAAGATTTCATCAAATTCTGCCATGAGCTGGAGACTGCAAGGCAGGCAATGCCATGAAGACTCAACAGTTAATCACAAAGTAAACCCAAGTTGACAAATACAATGCCATTATTTCCCCACAACACCACTATAGATTCATTATGCTGCACAAAAAGTAGGCCTTAGTGACCGATCTTACATTCCTGACCACGGCTGCTTTGATAACGTTCGATACCCGGTGCACTTTTTACAGTCAGATGCTGATCAAATTGACGATGTAAATGGTCTTTGAAACATTTCAACCATTTCTGAAGCATTCAAACAGATCATTGCTAGGACGTGACACGACAACACGCTTGAGCCCAGGAGGCTATGCGCCCTAACCCAAGGCAAGTGACGCGAAGTCGCTCAAAAATGTCCTGCATCAGGCACATGTCCACATACAAAATCAGCTATTCGCAAGGCGACCGTGCAAGACGACCATTTACCAACTGTGTGCTGGACTCACCGTGAGCTTAAACGATCGCCGGGCTCGCTACTTACAACCACACACACCCGTCACACCGGCCTCTCCCCACTCGCACGGCCTTGACTGTTAGCATTTGCGCACACCCACGTCATGAGCTCACGCCAAGGCGACTTTAACACCAAGCTGCCAGTTGTCGATGTTTTGGAATGTTTCGAAAATGGCATCAAAGTAATAATGTAAACTAAAAACCGAATGTAAATCACATATTTTTAACAAATCACTTAGCTCTACAATTATTTTATAGAATACAGTGATTGCATAGTGATTATTGCTTGTCATTCCTAGCTGAATATTTTAAATTTATCCACTTTAAGTACCTTAGCAGATGCCTACAAGCACCTCTCCTAGTTTGAATCTTGGCTTTTGTTTCAGTCAAGTAGGATATGATGAACTGGCAGCCTAGTTAGTTATGATATGACTAATCGTCCAGTTGGCCGTTTTGGCGGTGTTGTGATTGATTATTCGCGCTGCGTTGTTGAGCTGAGGGTGGTGGAAGTTGGTTGGGCACTTTGACATGACATTCCACGTAGCTTTTACTGCATCGCACTCTACTAGCAGAAAGGGTCTTAGGCGGCTGTTCAAATGAAAAATGACGTTTCTCGCGTTTGTGGCATTCGGTGTGTGATGATCTAGACTGTTGACGTGGCATATGGTGAGGTTAGGCTTTTGTTGGTGTTATTCTTATTGTGCCTGTACAACTGTAAAGCTGTTATGTTATCTACCTTGAGAACCAGCCTTGCATTATATTGTGCATAGAATGCAATCTGAGGATAACAAGGTGGGAGGGGGGACCATGTGACACAGCATTGGCCAAGCTTTAGTCCTTTGCAACATGTTTTAAAACTTTCAAGCCAGGTACTGTTGACTTCCTCTCATGGCATTCAACATGCCCATCTCCTTAACAGCTCTAGTCCCATCAGGAGATGGACAGATGCTACCTTTTGAAAAGTTATGCCCTATGCAGCTGAACCTGTGGTATGTTTGACAAAAGTGGATGACATGCTTTGCAGCATTTGTTCAATTGCTGGCTGGACAATTATCACCTTTTTTAGAATTGTTGCATTGTACAGTGCAACCTGCAGGGAGGGTGATTGTGCCCAGTTTAACTAGCACTTGACCATAGGGGGCCAATCTGCAATAGAGCCATCCACTTCACTGAATACCTGCATGTTAAAGTGTGCTGAACATTGTACTGGTCTATTCCAAACTTAATTCAAGCTAATTTGTGATGAATTTTCAACAAAAAATTGTGTGTAAATATGTTTGGAGCATCACAGCCTAAAATTACCTTCACCACACAATATTTTGTAGAAACACTTGGCTTGCTACATGTTGAAATTGATGTGATCTGCTTATGGTGCTGTAGGTGCCTGGAATTATGGTCTGCATGTCCGGAATTTTTTCCTGCAATGTTGCTGCTATGTCAGACATTTTGGCATGACAGATATTGTTGCAGTCTTAATGGGAGGGAGGATAAGGGTTGAAAATGGTTTCAAGTGTGTAGCATAATTTTGGGATAGACCCTTCGCAATGCTTGCATAGCACATTTCGGATTTTGTGCTCACTGTTTTGGATTTTGTTTTAGGGTTCTCCAGATAGGCCTAAATACCTGGGCAAGTAGGCACCTGCATTACTTAAGATGAAAAGCTTAAGCTCAGATTAAGTGAGAGATTGAATTTAAACATGATCAATCCCTGTTAGTGCTGTTTACAGTGTGCTTAGCATCATGCTTCACGGCTACATCGCATGAGAGCCTGGTTGTTGTTTGGTACTTTTATACAAGTGTGAAATGTTGGGCTATTTTTTACAGGATTTTAACATGCTGATGAATTCAAAAACTGCAATAATGAAATGATGTTTGTGTGAAGCCAACATGATGCCAAGGTAATTTTTCATTCTCTGCATGCTAAAGCAACAGCTTGAAAAAGAGAGTTAACAGCATATTACCCACTGCCAAAACTAACAAGTACATGATGACCAAAGCACAGCCAGCACATGCATTGCTCAGTGTTATTATGCTGGATCAGAGTATATACAAAGAGCAAAATAACTGGGTTGCATGAGTGTTATTTGATGTTTGCCTTGTGGGTGATAAGTGATCTTAGGTTGTTTGATTACCAGATGAAGTATTTGAATATCACAATATTCAGATTTGAAAGCATATACCACATTCACCCAATTGATATGAAGCTCGCAGCTCCGCGTGACCTACACAGGTGTGCAGCACATGGCCGTGCAGCAGCACCTGTGCACCATGGATTCGTTTTCTGGGGCGCCTGCACAGGTGCACAGTGAGGAGCCATACAGCAGCACCTGTGCACCATGGAGTCGTTTTCTGGGATGCCTGCACAGGTGCACAGTGAGGAGCCATGCAGCAGCACCTGTGCACCATGGAGTTGTTTTCTGGGGTGCCTGCACAGGTGCACAGTGAGGAGCCATGCAGCAGCACCTATGCACCATGGAGTCGTTTTCTGGGGCGCCTGCACAGGCGCACAGTGAGGAGCCATGCAGCAGCACCTGTGCACCATGGGCCTTTGTCCAGGGTGCTGGCCGGCTGTGGCGGCCGGGGCCGGTCCGCCGCGTGACTCGCCGCTCTGCCGCAGGATCGGCCTGCCCTGCCTGAGCGGAGCGCTGGCGCAGTGGGCGCAGCAGCTGTGCCAGCGCTGGGCCGCCGGCTGGACGCTGGCCGTCAGCGTGGTGACGCTGGCGCTCTGCTCGCTGGTGGTGCTCACGCAGGCGCTGGCCGCCGTCGGCACCTACCAAGGTTTGGCGCGACGCTCGAGCCCGGGGCCTCCGGTCTTCTGTCTGGATAGCAGCTCTCGGTTGTACTCGCTGTGGTGGGAGCATAATATATCAGCGTCTGGACACGGAACAATACCCCGTGCGCAAGTTAAAAAAGATGCAATCTACCTACGATATTTGCAGTTTGCCGCGCATTTCCGGACCAGTGGCGGATCCAGAGCGGGGAGAGGGGGGGGGGGCATGGGTCCATGGTCCTATGGCCTCATGGCCCTGCTTGGAGCCGAGGGGCACCAAAATCCTCATTTTGGGGTCGCATAACCATTTTCAAAACGCACCAAACTTCAGAAGCACCGCAAACGGCCGCAAATCTTCAAGGTCAACGTAAAAAATAATGGAAAATTTAACTCTGTTGGCTAAATGCGGCTCGCCGCTCCGGTGCAAGATATTTACCTATTGAGAAATGATAATTCAAAAAGTTGCCGAAATCTTCGTTGTGAGGGTGGTAACGGACCACAATGAAGCGTAGTCACTCTCCTTTGACGAAATCCGGGATTCGCCCTTGGTCTGGACTGCATTGTCGCGCTCCTTGGCGGATATGCTGCGCCACGTTGATGATGCTCCCACTGAATGTGCTGAATGTACTGACCCTTGAGCACTGAGGCTTTCTGCTCTGTCTGAGGCTGGCACACTCGCTAGCATGTTCTGCCCAGCTCCCGGCCAGTCCGTTCGTTGTCCGTCCCAGTCCGTCACCCGGTCCATCCGCTGTCACTCCACGCCCCCGCTCCCCTGACCTGAGCCCCCGGCCCCTGCTCTGACCTGCGCCCCCGCGGCTGGACCCTGCTCTGACCTGCGCCCCCTCGTCTGGATCCTGCTCTGACCTGCTGCGTCCCCGCGGCCGGCCGGTAGACCTGTGGAGCGGCGGCGATGGCGTCGAGCCGCGCGCCGAGGGGCTGGGCTACGCGGTGGTGGTGGACGCCGGCAGCTCCGGCAGCCGGGCGCATATCTATGTCTGGCCGCCGCACACGGGCAACCGGCGCGACCTGCTCAACATCCAGCCGCTGCGGGACCTGGCCGGCCAGCCCCGCGTCGAGATGATCACGCCAGGTGAGCGCGCCCCCAGCGGCGGCCGGGCGCCGGCGCCGCCCCGGCCCGACGCCGTCCGCGGCTGGCCGGAACGCCTCCACTGGAGGAGAGTTTGACTTCGCTGTGCATCTGCTGCGGGCGCAACAGACGATGAGAATTGCAATGGTTTTTAAGGAAACACATGCGAGGTGATTGTGTTGTTTCCAATGAGCTGGTTAAGTCGCATTAGGGGAATACAGCTCGAACAGAAGGATACCCGGTACAATGATAGCAGCTTCATCGCTGGCATGTCGCCAGTGGGTCGGGTAGCCCTGCCGTCTGTGTGGCATGCTCTTGAGCGGGGCTTGGTGTCCGGAGACTGACGCTGGTAGCTGGGCAGGTCTCTCCTCCATGAGGGCGACCCCAGACCGGGCCGGCGCGTACCTGAGGCCGCTGCTGGAGTACGCCGCCGCTCACATACCCAAGGAGAAGCACAGGGAGACGTCGCTGTACATCATGGCCACCGCCGGCATGCGGCTGCTTTCCAAGGAGTACGTGGTGACGCCCCGCTTCCTTAACACAGCAGCAGCTGGAGGGCTGTAACATTGCCTGGGCGCCTGCCTGAACCTCGGGTGTCGTTTCTGAACCGTCCTGATTGCTTTCTGAATATGCTCGACGGCTTGGTTGGTAGCAACTACACTCCCGGCTGAAGTCTATCATATGACCCGTTGCATTACAGCCGCGTGCTGACGTGACGGGGATATTGATAAGTGTTGTGGCGTGTCGCACTGGGTTCCGCGTTTGGACCGGCCAGACATACCGCAGTGTCTGTGTCTGACCTGACGGCCAAGCTGCGGTGGAGTGTGACTCCCGTCGCCAGACTACCACGGTGTCTGTGTCTGACCTGACGGCCGGCCTGCGGCAGAGCGCGACTCCCGCCACCAAACGTACCGCAGTGTCGTGTCTGAACTGACGGTCAGTCTGCGGCGGAGCGTGACTCCCCCCGCCAGACATACCACAGTGTCTGTATCCGACCTGACGGTCAGTCTGCGGCGGAGCACGACTCCCGCCGCCAGACATACCACGGTGTCTGTATCCGACCTGACGGTCATCTGCGGCGGAGCACGACTCCCGCCGCCAGACATACCACAGTGTCTGTATCCGACCTGACGGTCAGTCTGGGGCGGAGCACGACTCCCGCCGCCAGACATACCACAGTGTCTGTATCCGACCTGACGGTCAGTCTGCGGCGAGCACGACTCCCGCCGCCAGACATACCACGGTTCTGTATCCGACCTGGCGGTCAGTTCTGTGGCGGAGCACGACTCCCCGCCAGACATACCACAGTGTCTGTATCTGACCTGACGGTCACGTCTGCGGCGGAGCACGACTCCCGCCGCCAGACATACCACGGTGTCTGTATCCGACCTGACGGTCAGTCTGCGGCGGAGCACGACTCCCGCCGCCAGACATACCGCAGCGTCTGTATCCGACCTGACGGTCAGTCTGCGGCGGAGCACGACTCCCGCCGCCAGACATACCGCAGTGTCTGTATCTGAACTGACGGTCAGTCTATGGCGGAGCACGACTCCCCGCCGCCAGACATACCGCAGTGTCTGTATCCGACCTGACGGTCAGTCTGCGGCGGAGCGCGACTCCCGCCGCCTGACATACCACAGTGTCTGTATCTGAACTAACGGTCAGTCTACGGCGGAGCACGACTCTCGCCGCCAGACATACCACAGTGTCTGTATCCGACCTGACGGTCAGTCTGCGGCGGAGCACGACTCCCGCCGCCAGACATACCACGGTGTCTGTATCCGACCTGGCGGTCAGTCTGTGGCGGAGCACGACTCCCGCCGCCAGACATACGCAGGTCTGTATCCGACCTGACGGTCAGTCTGCGGCGGAGCACGACTCCCGCCGCCGCAACATACCGCAGTGTCTGTATCTGAACTGACGGTCAGTCTATGGCGGAGCACGACTCCCGCCGCCAGACATACCGCAGTGTCTGTATCCGACCTGAACGGTCAGTCTGCGGCGGAGCGCGACTCCCGCCGCCTGACATACCACAGTGTCTGTACTGACTAACGGTCAGTCTACGGCGGAGCGCGACTCCCGCCGCCAGACATACCGCAGTGTCTGTACCTGACCTGTCGGTCAGTCTGCGGCGGAGCGCGACTCCCGCCGCCTGACCGCGTCCGGCCCTGGTCACAGGACGCAGGCGGCCATTATCTCCAGCCTGCGACAGGACATTCTGCAGCGGTACGACTTCCTGCTGGCCGAGCAAAACATCCAGGTGATCACGGGCCGTGAGGAGGGCATTTATCAGTGGATCGCCATCAACTTCGCCTTGGACAGGTGAGCACACAGCTGCCGGTGTCACCGGCACTGACAGCCGACGCGGACGAGGCGGATCGGGGTTGTGTGTTGGATCTGAGAGTGGGCTCCGCCGATTTGATTTCTCGACCTTGTGTAGCGGCGTGGCGCTGAGGCAAGGTGTGATTGGGGCCTAATAACGCACTCGCTACTGTGGCAACATGGTGTCGCCTGCCTCTCACCCTGGCAGGAAGGGCGAGCACCACGGGGAATCGAACCCCGTGCCTCTGGTTTCCCAGACAGGTAGCTTAACAACTACGCTATCATTCCCCTACGCTGGTATATTGCCGCTTCCTATGCAATGCTTGGCAGGGTTTGAAACGCTGCTATTCCGCGTAAATTGTCAGATGAGGAGATCCATCTCGCGACGTGTTTGACGCCCCTGTGTCCGTGTGTCGGACGTGCGTGGTGTCTGATGTCGCTGCCCCCCGACGGCCAGGTTTCGTCATGCCCACAACGGGCCGCTGGTGGAAGTGGAGACCGTGGACGAGAAGCCAATCAAGCGGCTGAAGACGGTCGGCGCGCTGGACATGGGCGGAGCCTCTATGCAGATTGGCTTCGAAGTGACCACCAAAGCGCAGCAGAAGGCCCTGGTGAGTGACGCAGTGCAGTGTGACTGTGGAATCCACCCGGGTAGCCGGGGCATTGGCGGCGATGCTACCGCCGTGCCTGGAGGTCATTGCGGTGTGAAGTAGATCTTCTGTGGGATCTGTGGACTTGATTCTCGGCTAAAGCGTGGTATCACATGCCACTTCGTAGAACATAGCAAAGAGGGCATCGAGCGCAACCGGGCAGCAGAGAACATGCCGGTAGCCATGTCCACCGCGTCAGCTGGGTAGTCTTTGCCGACTCCAAGCCAGACCGCCGGCAAGGGAGGGCGGGAGGGACGGCCGCCGAACAGCGAGCTCTGAGTGGCGCCGGCTGGGACTGGGGTTTGGCCGCCGGACAGCCTGCCTGAGTGGAGTGGCCTCGAGTGATGAGTGATGCCTGGCTCTCGCCGCAGGGGGGCCACCGCTCCTCCATGGCGGTGATCAACCTGGGCTGCGCCGACCACGACCGCGAGCACACGTACCGCGTGTACGTCACCACCTTCCTCGGCTACGGCGCCAACGAGGCGTTCCGCCGCCACAGTGAGGCCATCCGTGCCAGGTGAGCCGACCGCTGGGGGCGCTGGGGGGGGGGAGGGGGGGGGGGGGGGGGGGGCGCACGCCCCTGATCAGACCTCGCGCCGTGCTGAGACGGCTGTGTTCGGGATGCGAGCCTGGAAAGGACATAGAAACGTTTGAGCGGTGTTGCGACGCCGAAGGTCGCGTGCTGCATTGAATGGAAGTCCTCCGTCCTTGAGAGCGATGGGTTAGCCTCATGTTGAAGATTTTTGTTTGTAATTCGCACAGGGTGTTTCTTCCCAACATGGGGTGGACTAGACCGTCGCTGCCGCACTCGGTCTGTCGCTGCAGTCGTCAGACGAGTCAGTTCATTCTGTCTTTCACTGAGGCTGGCATGCATTCCCTCTCCCATATTTCGCCAGCTGTTAGACGCTGAGGTGAGGTTGTGAATGGCACGCAGCCAGTGGCCGGTTGCCTGCGGTGGTCGGGCGGTGGCGCCCGCCAGGCCCGTGTGACCGGTCTGCGCCCTGTCCGCCTCAGGTACACGAACGGCACCCGCCGCCTGTACGACCCGTGCCTGGTGCGCGAGTTTTCGGACCGGGCGCTGCTGAAGAACACTACCTACTGCTCCGAGCAGCAGCCGCCGCCGGCCAACTGCTCGGTGCCCGTGGTCGGCACCGGCGACTGGCACCAGTGCGAGGAGCTCGTGCGCAAGCAGGTGCGTCGCTCCGGCCGCCGGCTGTGACGCTCCGCCCTCCCGCGCGGCTGGGAGTACGCGCCGCTGCTCCCATCCTCTCCCACCGGCGGGCTGCCGGCGGTGGTGACGTCTGGCGAGACAGCGGCGGCGGCTGTGATGTCCGGGCGTCCCGGCTGAGCCCGCGGACGCGTCCCCGGAGGCCGTCAGAGATAGACCGCTGGGCCGCCGCCTGTCGGAACTGCGCGTTCCCCGCCGTCCGCCCGTCCGCCCCTCTAACGACGCCGGCGTCGCCGCAGATCGTGGAGGAGCGCAAGACGCGCCTGTGTCCGGAAGGCCCGGACGGCTGCACGCGCACGCTGGTGGCGCCGCCCGTCAACCTGAGCGAGCTCGAGCTGTATGGCTTCTCCGAGTTCTGGTACTCCATGGAGGACACACTGCGCAGCGGCGGCAATTACTCCTACAAGCGCTTCAGCCAGACGGCCAAGGTGAGCGCGAGCGCCGCGTCGCAACTCGCGCGGCTTCAGGCCGGTCGGCGCTACGCCGCGCAGGGCCCAGCTGTCCTGGTGGGCGCTGCCCCCGCGCGGGGCCCGGCTGCCCCGGTGGGCGCTGCCCCCGCGCGGGGCCCAGCTGTCCCGGTGGGCGCTGCCCCCGCGCGGGGCCCAGCTGTCCCGGTGGGCGCTGCCCCCGCGCGGAGCCCGGCTGTCCCGGTGGGCGCTGCCCCCGCGCGGGGCCCAGCTGTTCTGGTCGGCATCGGCCCTATTTGAGCCCGGCCGACTTCGCTCACAATTGCTGACGGCTGTCGCCATCCAGTTCTGGCCGTGTGTGTTCGTGTTGTTTCGGTGTTTTGACGGACAGCCCGCTTGGCTCACTTCGGATACGGGACTTCAGCTCGCAGCTCTGTGCAGGGTTCAGTAGGGAACGAAGCTTTGTCGTGCGCTCTGCCCTGGGGCTTTTGTAGTATGGTACCACATTTTGTTCTATTTGATGTCTAGATGAGGAATACTAGAGTTGTTACGTAGAGTTGTCAGTTAAGTGTTTCCATGCTGTGGGCCCCGTACTGTGACTGACCCTGCCCGTACCCATCCGCTCCTGTGTCGGCCCAGCTGACAACGCCCGTCCGTTCCCGGCCTCAATAACCTGGCTGTCCGATCCCATCCGTCCACCCCCCCCCCCCCCTCCCTTCCCACCTGACCCCGTCCATTCACCTCCGACTACGTCCCTGTCCGTCCGACTCGTGCTGCTGTCCCCGCCCGTCTGCCCCTTTCCGGTGTGTGCCGCTGTCACTGTCTCCGTGTGTTCCCGTCTGTGCCCGTTTTTGTCTGTGTGTGCTGCTGTCTCTTCCTCTGTGTGTTCCCGTCCGTTCTGTCTGTCTGTGAACCGCTGTCACTGCCTCTGTGCGCTCCCGTCCGTGTCTGTGTCTGTCTGTGTGCCGCTGTCACTGCCTTTGTGTGCTCCCGTCCGTGCCTGCCTGTGCGCCGCTGTCACTGCCCCTGTGTGCTCCCGTCCGTGTCTGTGTGCCGCTGTCACTGCCTCTGTGTGTTCCCGTCCGTGTCTGTGTGCCGCTGTCACTGCCTCTGTCTGCTCCCGTCCGTGTCTGTGTGCCGCTGTCACTGCCTCTGTGTTCTCGTCCGTGCCTGTCTCTGTCTGTGTGCCGCTGTCATTGCCTCTGTGTGCTGCCGTCCGTGTCTGTCTGTGTGCCGCTGTCACTGCTTCTCTGTGCTCCCGCCCGTGTCTGTGTCTGTCCGTGTGCCGCTGTCACTGCCTCTCTGTGCTCCCGTCCGTGTCTGTGTCTGTCTGTGTGCCGCTGTCACTGCCTCTCTGTGCTCCCGTCCGCGTCTGTCTGTGCGCCTGCGTCTGTCTGTCTGTCTGCGCCTGCGTCTGTCGCTCCCGTCTGCGTCTGTGTATTCCCGTCCGTGTCTGTGTCTGTCTGTGTGCCGCTGTCACTGCCTCTGTGTGCTTTCGTCCGTGTCTGTCTGTATGCCGCTGTCACTGCCTCTGTGTGCTCCCGTCCGTGTCTGTGTCTGTCTGTATACCGCTGTCACTGCGTCTGTGTATTCCCGTCCGTGTCTATGTCTGTCTGTGTGCCGCTGTCACTGCCTCTGTGTGCTCTCGTCCGTGTCTGTCTGTATGCCGCTGTCACTGCCTCGTGTGTGCTCCCGTCCGTGTCTGTCTCTGTCTGTGTGCCGCTGTCACTGCCTCTGTGTGCTCCCGTCCGTGTCTGTCTGTGTGCCGCTGTCACTGCCTCTGTGTGCTCCCGCCCGTGTCTGTGTCTGTCCGTGTGCCGCTGTCACTGCCTCTCTGTGCTCCCGTCCGTGTCTGTGTCTGTCTGTATACCGCTGTCACTGCGTCTGTGTATTCCCGTCCGTGTCTGTGTCTGTCTGTGTGCCGCTGTCACTGCCTCTGTGTGCTCTCGTCCGTGTCTGTCTGTATGCCGCTGTCACTGCCTCGTGTGCTCCCGTCCGTGTCTGTCTCTGTCTGTTTGCCGCTGTCACTGCCTCTGTGTGCTCCCGTCCGTGTCTGTCTGTGCGCCGCTGTCACTGCCTCTGTGTGCTCCCGTCCGTGTCTGTGTGTGGCCGTCGTCGGCTGACCCCGGCGTCGCTCCGGCCAGGACTACTGCGCCACCGCCTGGCGGACGCTGGTGCGGCGCCGCGGCGAGGGACTGTACGGCCGCTCCGACGACGACCGGCTGGCGCGACAGTGCTTCAAGTCCGTCTACCTCACGGCCGTGCTGCACGAGGGCCTGGGCCTGCCGTACTCGTACCAGGGCCTGACCTCCACGCCGAGCGTCGTAAACGGACGCGTCTCCACCTGGACGCTGGGCGCGCTGCTGTACAAGCTGCGCTTCCTGCCCGTGCGGTGGGTGTGCCGCCGCCGGCCGCCCGGCCGCGGCCGGCTGAGGTGGAGTGTGCTGCTGTCGACTGGCCTGGGGAGGTGTCCGTGGGGGCCCCGTGGAGCTGGTGTGGAGTGGGACTCCGCGTCGGGCTGGTAGCGGAAGAGTGGCCGTTGTCCTTGAACATCGCACTCAAGCTGTGCAGCCCAGCAATGTATTCAGGTGTGGCAGCGCCGTTACTTTCTAATGGAAAACGCTGAAGAACGCGGATGACCGCTCAAGTGTGATGATCATGCCGATGGCTTGGTGTCTGCGGCCGCTCGCCGTTCTACTGTACTGCCGCGTCGACCGCAGCCTCTGACCGCTCCCTCTGTCACCAGGTCGGTGGAGGCGGCCACGTTTTGCTGTACTGCCGTGTCGACCGCAGCCTCTGACCGCTCCCTCTGTCGCCAGGTCGGTGGAGGCGGCCACGTTCTCGCATTTCCCGGCCGGTCCGTACAGCATCTGGGGCTCCCAGTACCTGCTGCTGGTCTGCGTGCTGGTCGTGCTGGGCGTGCTGGCGCTGTACGTGCTGCGCCTGCGCCGGCTGCGGCTGGCGCGGCCGCGCGTGCGTCTCCTCTCCGAGCACGAGCCCATGCTGCTGGGCGTGCGCGTCAGCTGACGGGCCGGCGCCGAGCGCCAGCTGGCCGGCCCCGGCCCCGGCCCCGGCCCCGGCCCCGGCCCGCCGCAGTAGCCCAGAGAAGCCCGCCTCGTCCGGGCGGCGATAGGTAAATGGCAGACAGACGGGGTCAGCTGCCCGACCAATAGGTCATTTGACGTGACAGGGAAATACAACGACCGCTCGTGATCTGGTGGCAGAATCAATGAACAAGGCGTATGTCACAGCTGAACAAATGGATCGAATTACGCTAGCTCGCCGTGCCGTGCCGTGGCGGGCGTCGGGTGTCCCGTAGGATGCCGTCAGCCACCGGCGAGTCGTCACCTCTCCGCGTACATCGACGCCAGCGGCCGGGCGCGAGTCAGGTCAGGACCGGCGATCTCGGCCGGCCGAGGCCCCGGCCGCCCTGACCCCGGGGTCAGACCAGGGCGGGCCGCCAGGCGGCCTCTCTCGTCAGCGGCCGCGCGGTGGCCAGCCCAAGGGTCAGTTGTGATATCCGCGTCACCGTATTGTGGCGCTTTGTCGGCCCGCCGCTCGCGGCCTGTTCGTTCTGTGAATTTAAGTTGCAGGCGAATTTTAAATCTCATTGCGACGGTATAACTTCGGTGCGTATGCAAACTTATGTGCTTGGCGATCTCCGCCTGTTAGACCCTAGAGTTGTTAAATTATTTATGGTACGCCGGGTAGTGCTGCGGATTACTTTATATTTATGCGCGGTACTACAGTTTTATACATATGGTTCGCATGGTGGGTGTCTGTTTCGGCAGCTGCAATCCCCTCTCCACCTGCACAGCCACGTGACTATGCCTGGGGTGTGTCCGCGTGTATTGGCTTGTGAGGGTTAGACGTGCCCTAGTCTAGTGCTTCCTTCGATTACTTATTGACTGCGCCCACCGATCGCGTTTGTTGCCATCTGCGAGTGTCTGTTGACGTGTTCTGGTCGGATCAGTTGGCGCCCAGAGACCGGTGGTCGGTGATTGCTATGTTTGGGGTCGCGGAACAGATGCCGACGGATCTGCCGTAGTACCACGCGACTGGGGGTGCATCCACTAGCCCTAGTGTTTCAGGTTACCCTAGCCAAAGTGTTCCGTGGTCTTCACGACCAGCGGCGTTTCGAGTAGCTGGTGATGTCAGCTTTCAAGCGAGGTCTTCGCACCAGTATTGTCTCTCAGCCGTATGCACCTGCACTGCTAATGTCCACACCGTTTTCATGAATAGACTGGCGATTTAGAGCAACCGAGAGCTGCCCGTCACTGGACAGCGTGAGACTGCCAGGAAGGGCGGTACTAGATGTGAGCTGCGTCGCGCGAGGCCGCTGTCCTCTGCCTGGCCCCGCGCGTGGCCGGCGGGGCTGGGCCGCTGAGCCGGGCTGAGCTGAGCTGAGCTGCTGAGGGCGCCACCCCGCCCGCTGGTCGAGTCCGCGCACCTGGCGCGGCTGGTCACCCGGCCTGTCCCTGAGGCGGCCGCGCCGCCACATCAGCCATCGCATACGGTGTATTGCATATATGCATCCGGCGGCAGGATGTAACGTAAATAAATAAACGATCGAGGCGGCTACAGGGAAGTTAAGTGTGCGATGGGAACAGCAAGGGTAACCGGACGCTACAAGCTAACGAACCCAGCACGGGGCGACCTCTAACGCACGCTACGCTTAAGGTCCCGAAGGCTCGGTGGGGCTGTCTTTGGTGGCCATCTGCTATGCTACGGTTAATACTTGATTCATCTGTCTTACTTTTCCACCAACTCCACTATGCGGGTCCGACGTAACGCAATCCAACAATCCGACGGCTCCATCACAAAGTCAACGGGCTAAAACTTGCATAATATGGACTTATTTGAGCAAATTCAACATTCAGATGTCGGAAGGCCCTCAAGGTTTGCGGTGTATCAGACGGTTATGAAGCGTTGACGAATGCGAGAATAACTCCACACAACCCACAAAACCTACGAGCACCAGAGTTCGCCGTTGCATGGCGTCACCACACCAGCAAAGCTAAAAAACCGTCTCTGCGAGGTTTACATGCATAATCGCGACCACACGGTTCGATCAAACCATAAAAGATTAACGGCAACGCCACATCCTCCATCAGCGCCCTTCCGGTCGAGGTGGAGCGCACGCCACACCGGCGCTCGGTTCGTTGTACGTCGCAGCGACCATGCCGACCTCGAGCCCCACGGGCGGGCCGCCGCGGCCGCACGGCCCGCCGACCTCAGGGTCAACCTCCGCCGAGTCCAAGCCATCTGTGCCCCCCCCCCCCCGCTCTGCTCCAGTTATTGCGCCGCGGAGTCCCCGTCGCCGCGTTCCTGCCGCGCGGCTGCTTTGCCCCGCGGCGCTGCGGCGTGACGTCACTCTGCGCGCGCGACGCCAGGGCCGACCTCGGTCCGCTCGCCCCGAGGCGCCCGCTCCCCGCGAGGAGTCACGTGTCGACGTGCGCCTCGCCGGGGAGGGCCTCCGCTCCCGGGCTCGTGCCGCGTCTGGCCAGGCGCCGGGGCCTACCGACGCCGTCGTCACGTCCGCAGACAGCGGAAGAGCCACGTCCCCACCGTACGGCGGCAAATGCCCATCCATGTCTGCTGCCTGCTCTCGTCCGCTCCGACCCGCCCGAATCCGACTCCGTCGGCTGGAGTCCGCCGGTCCTGTCCGTGAGCTGTGTCCGTCGGCCGCTCTAGTGATGGTCGGCAGCCGCTCTAGTAGTGGCCGACGGCCACTATAGTGGCAGGCTGCGGCTGCTTTAGTGATGGTCGCCGGCCAGATCGGCGTCCTCCTCCTCGTCGTCGTCCGAGTACTCGCCGGAGATGGCCGTGGCAGACCGATGGTTCATGTCCGACGAGCGGAGCCGGCGCACCTTGGCCGGAGGACTGCCGACACACGGCGGAGGGCGGGCCAGGTCAGGTCAACAGGCGGGGCGACGGATCAGTGACGGTCAGCAGGGGCGTGGAACACGAACACCCCGCACCAGGGTGGCACCGGAACAACCGGGCGCGCACGTTCGTCACGGCCCGGGAGCCGAGCCACGCCGGTTTAGCTCACCACAGGACGGACAGCCGGTGACACACCCCCGAGACAAAGGGAGAGCTCCGCCCCGGCTGCCATCCTCCGCTGGGTCAGCCGGTCCGCGGCCGAGCCGTCTCCAGCGGTCAAGAGAGCGCCGCTGCTGCCACCCCGCGGTCAACAGCAGCGCCGACTCCAGCGCCCGCCCCGGCCGTGGGCGGCGGCGGCGGTCCCACCCTCCCGCCACCGCCCCGTTCCACCTGCCCACTAGCGGGCTCGGCGCCGGGCGCACCGCGTGAGCCCGAGCGGTGGTCGGCGCGCGCCGCCCTCACCTGTGCAGGCCGTCGCCCAGCGGGTCCACCTCGCTGGAGGAAGACGGCGTAGGCGACGAGGGCGGCGAGAGCGCCGTCTTCACCATGCCGGCCGAGTCGGTCAGCATCTTGTTCTGCGGGGCGGCCAGGCAGCGCGTGAGAAGGATACTCAGCATCCTCGCAGGCCACGCGTGACGCGCCCACACATTCAGAAACGTGCCGAGATCGCTTAAGAGAACGGCCAACTTGGCGAACGCAGTACATACGTGGTACAGCGCAGGGCGCTCTGAACACGGGTTGCCATACTCAAGATGTTCCAGCAGTGTGATCCTAGCAGTCTATTTTAGATTGTAAGTGGTGTCCCCTTCCACTGTGCAAAATGTTCACGCAGAAGGCAGGGAATGGTCTGGTTTGGTTTGGCCCGCATGGGAGCATGTTACCGCTCCCAATTCTCAACAGACTTTCCCGCAGCACTCGTCACCTCTCTCCACTTGCACAGAACAACTTCCTGGACTAGGCAGTTGCTCTGCACAAAATCCCATCATATATTTAATCTCCCTCCGCCGGTGACGCGCCAGCGGGTGTCCTCGACATATCCCACTCACGATCCTGCCGTCCCTGCCGAACATCATGAGGAAGGTGTCGATGAACTCCCGGCTGCGGTCCTCCCACTTCTGGATGAACTCGGCCCGCTTGTCCGAGATGTCGGCGATGGCCTTCTTCCCGCGGTCCTTCAGCTCGTCCATCTTGTTCTGGATCCGGAACTTCTTCTCCTGCCGGACCGCACACCGCACGTGAGACGCACACGCCGCATCGCGTGGTAGGCAGCGGACTGTCCCCGTTGCGCCCCAACATAGCGGCACGTGCGCTGACAGGCAGCCCGTCGGACCAGGCGCACACTGCGAACAAAGACGCCAGACTGTGCTGGGTTTCACACGCACTTAAACGCACCAGTTCCTCTGCTGGTCTGTCCTTCATGGCAATTACGTTTGACTCGGCCCTCTCCATTTGCCGTTTGCTGCTGCGTTTGCTGCTGACCGACATCTGACGCATTTTCCGAGGTCCCGTGCGCCGGGAGCTCGGCGAGGGCCGACTAACTAAACGCCATCAGGTGCGCTCTGTCGCATGCGCAGCCCCGGCACGCCCCTGGCGAGGGCTGGGCGCCACTCGCCCGCCGGACCACCACTCACGCTAATGAAGGAGACGTTGAGATCCTTGGCCGAGTATCCTCGCGCCAGGTTCCGCCGCACGTACACGTCGTAGTCCTTGACGATGCGGGAGACGATGTCGGAGGTGGAGACGCCGTCCGTCCGCTGCGTGGCCACGAACATGCCTGGCGGCGCGCCCAGCTCGTGATGCATAGGTTGTGGATTCGAGACCCGCTGCCGGCTGAGTTTTGGGATCCCAACAGACCTTTTTTGAAATCAGCGTGAGCTATGTTGATGCTCATGTCCACAGCAGTGCTGCAGGCTAACCGGAAGCTGACCATACGCTCGCAAGGGGCCACCGACAGTCTGTACAGGTGGCGCCACCGTCGCCGTCATTAGGCCGACACCAACAGTCGATGGACCGGCCCGGAGCAGGCGCGTGTGCAAGATGTCAGCTCACAATGCCACCAGGGTGACCTTTGTGACCTGCGACTGCTCGGCGGGTGCACCGGTTTCAGCACCGATCACGAGTTGTGCACCCATGATAACACCCACTTAATCAACAAGTCCACTGCAACTGACCTATGATCCCGCTGCAAGGTCGCACCAGTTTTCCCGCACGATAGCAAACTGCGATTGCACGTGGCATACATCCGTCGGCTCCGGAGTCCACAAACACACACACGCACACACACGCACATTATTCGGGATGGGGGTGTGCAGAACGCCTGCACAGCGGACAATTAGGCCAATTAGGACAATTAGGCCACCACCACGCCTGTCTGTCCGCGGACGACAAGGCTGGCAAACATTTGACGTGAAGCATCCATTGCGACGTGCGGACGTCACCTCTTTCTTTGAGCCGGGCGTACACGTCGACTCCGGAGCCGGTGGTGTACGGGTAGTCGTCGTGGGCGATAAAGTCAATCTGGGAACGCAGGGAAGAGATGGTGCAGGCGCTGGGTGCAGCCGCCGACATTGCGTGCGTGACATGTAAACAGCCCAGCCCAGTCAGATGGTCGAGATGGACTTCGCGTTCTTGGTTAAGTGCGACTCAGCCAAACACAGCTGCAGTGTTGTGACTCCCCAGCCTGAGCCACAGAGCCGTGGAGACACTCAACAAGCGAAACGTCCGCGTGACGACACTGGATGAGTGAGGCAGGCTTCGTCAGCGTCACCCGCACTATGCGGAGCCGAGAGCCCCGGCCTTGGCCTGTCTCACAGTCCCGCGGCGGTGCCCCCCTGCACGCACGAGCACACCCCGCTCTAGCAGAGCCCCGGCTGGCGCGCGCCCTTCACCGCGAGCGAAGCAAGGCAGCTCGGAGCCGACCGACGGCTCTGGCCGGACTGGGCCCGCCCCTGCCGTCTACACAGGTGGGTCCCCGCCGATCAGAGACCGCCCCGCAACCCGGCTCCCGTCCCCGGCACTCCCGACAAACCTCGGACCCGAACGCCGGACCACCGCTCCAACACGGAGACCCCCACAGTTTGCTCTCGTCCCCAGCACCCCCTCCCCCCCCCCCCCCCAACGCCAAGCCAAGGACCCTGGACCGCCGTCCCACCCACCGACCAGAGACCATCCCCTCAACCCAGCTCCCGTCCCGAGTACCCTCGCCGCCGAGCCGCGGACCCGAACCCCACACTGACGCTCCGCCAAAAGGACCTTAGCAGTCTGCTCTCGTCCCCAGCGCCCCCTCCCCCGCCGCGAGCCGCGGACCCCGGACCTCGGACCGCCGGCGCACCCACCGACCTTGTGCTTGGCCAGGAAGGCGTCGTCCACCT